TTAGTTTTATAAAGTGTGTTTCTTTCTGGTTGTTCAGAGGAAACATTCTGCTGTTCTGCTCAAAAACAACGCAGAGCTTCTGTAAGTGATCTAGTGCCGAGCTGTGCACACCTCTACTGGCCGATGACTCCATTTATCAGGTACTTAGAGTGCAGCCCTCACATCCCTCCACGGGCGCTTCGATCCACATCCACAGTATGGTGACAGGAGTCCAGTTCTACTGAAGCAGTTTAACTTTTCAAGGTTTTGTTCAGAGACAAGTGTCAGCGTCTCCAGGTTACGGCTGCACCTGGAAGAAACAGAACAGACCTGCTGGTGTTGTTTGTGGTGCAAATGTACCCGAGTAACAAAAAGCAGGGCTTACAGCCGGACAGCAAATGATCAAACACAAGTTTACCTGCGTTCTGTGAACGTTACGACCCGACAGCATCATTTATCATGAAGATGAACCTGATTAGAACTACGGTTACAACAACACAACACCAAGAAAACCGACTCATCAAAGGCTTCCTGGTGAGCTGGTGTTACTGCAGCATGGGTTTTTGGTCTGTTGTGGGTTTTGTGTGTCTGTTTGTGGTCCTCCTTTGTGGTCGTTTTATGACTTTATAGTTGCTTCTCATCTTTGTGTGTCTGTGTTCGTTTCATGTCTGTGTGTTTCTTTCGGTGTTCTTGTGTCTTGTTGTGGTGGGTTTGTGTCCCTTTGTTGTCTCTTTGTCGTCGTTTTGTGTCTTCATATATTTGTTTTGGGTCTATTTGAGCTTCCTGTCACTGACCCTGAGGGTAGTTTTCCTGATCTGATGCATGAAACAGTCCCGGTGGTCGGACACCAGGGAAAACCTCCACCCAGGGCTGCATCAGAAACATGAGAAACCTGCAGTCGTGTCTCCACATGAAACCTGAGGAGATGAAGCCCGACTGGTCACATGGTTGCAGCTCAGAGTGCAGCCAGACAACGTGTGAAAACAGGGCTTAGTCACAGCCATGACTCACGCACCTTAACTGTTGACTCGCCGTCTCTAAAACAGCCAACTGTGTTTGTGTGCAGCCTGCAAGAGCCAGGGTCTGCTGGAGTGCAGCAACGGTCAGTGCATCCCTTCAGCGTTTCGCTGCGACGGAGAGGACGACTGCAAGGACGGCAGCGATGAAGAGCACTGCAGCCGAGAGCAGAGTGAGACGTCGTCCTTCACACCGCCTCACATCTCTGCATTCACGCTCACACACAAAACACACAGCAGCTGCTCCAACCGGAGTTAATCCTCTGAACCTGCTGCCGCGGTCAGTGTCATCTCCACAACCGTTCATCAGCCAGAAACAGGAGCCGCCACCGACTGAGACCAGCAGGGACACCGTCGGAGAGGTTTCAGCTGAACGGCAGGCAGTGTTTCCAGAGAGCAGAGAGGGGACGACAGAGACCACAAGAAGAGTCAGAAACCACCGAAAAGAGTAAAAAAAAAAAAAAACACTAAAAAGAGTCAGAAATCACTAAAATGAGATGAAATAGGACAAAATCCAACCCCCCCAAAAACCAGAGGCAAGACATGAAGTAAGAAAACAAAATTACATGATGCAGTCATGACTCGATGATCCGACACTAAATGTAAAACCTTCTNCAGGTGCGCACCAGAACACACTGCTGCACAACCAGACCAGGGTTTACGTCAGTGTGTTCACACTTAGACTGAACACAGAGCGCAGGCCACTGTCAGCCCAGCCAGTCTAATTCAGTTTAAAACCAGGAAAAAAACAGTATAAAACCAGTATAAACCAGTATAAACCAGAATGAACCAGTTCCTCTGATAACTAGTCTCATGCTAGTCATGGCTAGTTTGTGCTAATGCTAACTGATTCAGAGCATTCTGGGAAATGTAGGATGTTTAGAAACTGGTTCTTCACTGCAGCCAGAAAACAACAACAACAATAGCAGCAGGTCTGTTGCTGCACATGAACCTCAGCTGTTCACTCAGCAGCTGTGTGTGTGTGTGTGTGTGTGTGTGTGTGTGTCTAGTAATACCAGTGTGTAATCAGACCATGTCTTCAGTGTCTTCAGCTCTGTGACATCTGACCTCTGAGGGGATGATGGGAATCTGAGTTTAATGCTGCTACTAAGACCCTGTGTGTGTGTGTGTAGGAGGGTTGTGTTGCCTTGTGCGTCGTTCTGCGAGGCGGCGAGGGAAGGTTGTGAGCCCGTCCTCCAGATGTTTAACGCTTCCTGGCCCGAGTTCCTGCGCTGCTCACAGTTCAGCAACGCCACCACCGCCCCGCCGCCATCTTCACCTTCATCATCACCTTCATCTTCACCACCATCACCCTCCTCCTCCTCTTCATCAGCTGCTGCCTGCTACACACCACGGCAGATCAAAGGGAAACCCTGTGAGTTCACACACACACACACAGTTTGTTGTCAGCTGATCACATGTCACGATGACATCACCACCCTTCCCTCTCTCCTATTGGATGGCAGCTGTATGTGGCGGGAAGGACCACTTCCTGTGTGCGACGGGCATCTGTGTTCCTCAGAAACTGGTGTGTAACGGATACAACGACTGCGATGACTGGAGCGACGAAACACACTGTGGTGAGAAACACACACAGTAACACACACACAGTAGCACACACAGTAACACACAGAAACACACACAGAGACACACACAGTAACACACACACACACAGTAACACACACACACAGAAACACACACAGTAACACACACACA